AAAAAAAAACAGAACCATCCACGATTCAGTAGCTCAAAGAATTTAATTAAAACGAAACAAAAGAAAGCGGTGTAATAAAAATGTAAAAGAAGTAATGGTTGAATGTGTGTAGATGAAAGTCATACGCAGCAAGAATTGAACTAAGCAAAACTTAAGCACAAAGAGATTATTAATATTTTTTTTTCTCAAAATTTAAAATTAATGAGAAAAAGTGGTTGAAAATTTTTAATACTTTTTATAAAAAATATATATTATTGTATATTTTAGTATGAAACTTGTTACTTGTGCGACTTACATGTGTTATATTATAATAATTTTCTAACTTATAACATATATCTACATTAAACATAAATAAGTTATTATTATTATAAAGATAAATATAATTTATTTATTTTATATATACAATATAAATGTCAAATCGGAACTCATCAAAAGATCATGTGCCCTGAATTTACCTCCTTTCTTTGACCCAGAAGTCTGATTAATTTGATATATTATTTATGTAAAGCCGATAAGAAATACAAAAGTTATCAACTTTTAAAATACATTTACAATTCAATGGTTATAATTGAAAACTATATTAAAATACAATTAATACATCTTTAATGATTATAAAAAACTAAACATATTTATTGTAATTCGGACCTAAATATTTTTGGATTGAAATTAAATTAACATCTATCCAAACCAAAGAATGAAGCATGGAATTTTGACAGGTAGGATCTCGAAACATGCGAGGCTGCCACTTAGGCTCAGTACATTCGGGTATTATATACATGGGATGGGGATTGGTGTAAGTAAATTACAATTTTATGATTAAAGTGGTGAGGATTGTGTAGGAAATATATGAACTATAAGTTTTTAGATGCATGATTATATATTTTAATCACAATATGGGATGTTGCTAGATTTACATTTCAATGAGAAATTATTATTATAATCCTAGACTCCTAATAAAGTAAGGTAATTAAAGTTAATTTACAATATATAGATTATAAAATTTTCAAAAAGGTGGTCCTCTCAAGTATTACATAAAATGTTGGCAGTACACTTAATGTGATACATATCTTGATTTAAAGTATATTTGAGCGAATACATTCGATGTGATATACGTTCAAAACAAAATTCATACATCTAAACTAAGATTGTATTTGGTAAATGAAACTGATAAGTTAGCTTGCTTATAGATTATAGGTGAATTTAAAACTTAGAATTGATAACATATGACCAAAAAAACTAGGTGATACTATAAAAAGTTGCGGTAAAATAAGCTCATAAGCATGTTGAAATTAGCAGGCTGAAATAAAATATTCAACGAGTTTATTTGAAAAATTTTCAAATAAAAGTTATTAGATAAACTCAATTTTTTTAGAA